GAGGCCGCTGCCGGGCGGAGCGCGGCTGTGCGGGCCGCGGGGCCGGGCCGCCGTCAGTAGGTGCGGAGCGCAGCCCGGGCCCGGCGCCGCGGCCGCCGGCAGAAGGGCTGAGCCCGGGGCACGGCCACCGAGGGAGAGGTTTGCGCCCGCCTGAGCAGCCCTCCCCTTGGAAAGGGCTGTTTTGTGGTAACCCTGGCTCGCTCCGCTCCCAGAGATAGCGTGCAGGCCGAGCTGTGGGAGCGAACTGAGCGCTTCTTAGGGTTCTGCTTAGAAACCTTCTGTGAGCCGGCCCGTCCGCCCCAGGCAGAGCCGGGAGGCATCGGTGCTGCCGGTATCCGTGTGCGAGGCCGCGCTTAAAGCACGCGGCTCCAGGGCGGCGAGGCGCACGGGCGTTGTGTACCCGCGCTACCCCTGCACGCAGCGGCCGCGGGCACAGGGCAGGGTGCCATTTTGCGGGATGCTGCGCAAACAGAACAAAGAGCACATGTCCGAAGTGTGTAACAAAGACGGCGGTTAGGTGCAGGTAGATGGCAGAGTGCAAGCAGACGATGAGGTGGTCAGCGTCTCGGTGGCCAAAGCCGGTTTTGCTGCATTGCCTTTGTGAAGGAACAGCGGGGTTTTGAGAACAAAACGTGCCCGAGGGGAGCTTCACCCAAGTGTGTGAAACAGCGCAGCTGGAGTTGTTGGCATCTTTGAAAATTTAGCCAGCGGATAATAGAGAAACTTCTCGTTTCTGAAAGCAAAGTTTTTAAAGAATTTCAGCTAGAAATAATGAGAAATGATGAAGAGATGGGAAACGTGGGTAAAGGGCTTGATATCTTCCTATGGAAGCAAGGAACAATATGTTGTGTGGAACATCTACATATATGTAAAAGTATTAATGCTTGTGCAGCATGTACAGTTTTCTGCATCGCTCCTGTAATCCTGGATGCAAGCAATTTGAAGTCTGTGTAGTATTTCCTACTTGTGTTTGGTTGTTAATCCTCATTTCCTCCTGCATTTGCATCCTGTTAAAACTCCTTTGGTGTTTTTTTCTCTGAATCTGCCTTGCCTGTTCCTTTCTTCCTCTATTGCAATTTCTTTCTTCTATTTGTATGTTACTCACAGAGGCTATCATAAATTATGAATAAAATGTATGGATTGCACATCTGGGGATAGGCCAGGCTTTGCACAGGCAGCTGGCCTGGATTCGTTTGTATGTAGTTAGATTTCTGTGTGAACCCAGACCCAAACACCATGGGGAGACGTGAGCTTTTCCAGGTGAACCAGTTGATGCTAAGGCAGGATTTTCTTGTGTATGGGGACCACTTCCTTCTGTTGGCTGTGAAGAGAGCTTTGCATTAATAGTTCAGAATTGGACATCTACCCTGTATAATTATAGAAGTAGATAACTGCTGTTGTTCTTGCTTGGATCTCCCTCAAAATAGAATTTTTTAGACAGGAAGGAGTGGAGAACCTGTCTGCTTGTGCCCTCTTACACAGTGCATTCTTTTTACTGTACGAGTAAACATTTTTTCCCCACTTTCAGAAGGCAATGATTTTGAAATAAGCTCTTTCTCTTGACCTTTTCTCCGTCCTCTATTTCCATACCAATTATAAGAAACAAAACAACACTGCCATTGATGGTTACAAAAGACTGGGATATGTTGTAATCCCACAGGAGCTATTCTTGGAGAGAAGCATTCCCAATCTCAGCAGGGAGAGTCACAACTGCAGCCACAAATGTTATTCCTAACAGCCGAGTAATCTTTCCAGTTGTCACGTTCCAGACCTTCTGCTGCATGAAAATCACCCAAACCACTGTGCTTAAATATTGTGATGTTTTCCCAGCAGCATTGGGCCTGTTTCCCACCGAGCTTCCAACTAATCTCCATTTCAGGAGCTTCACAGCAATTCAGGTTGGGGCATTCAAGAGTTCACTGGATGAGTCATGGTGCCCTCTCTGAGGGAGGGTGAGTCCTCGTCTATAAAAGTACTGAAGAGGAAAGGAAGACAGTTTCCTCACACCCTGTTCTGTCTATGAGTAGGAGCACGAGAAAACCCTGGTGAATGTACTAGGCTGTCCCAAGTCATACCTACAACTAGAGCAGTGGTGGTCCCTATAGGACCAACTGGGGAGAGGTGGTAGCTGCTGCATGCAGTGTTCAGTTCACAGGAAAGCTGGGCTAAACAACACCAAGCAAATCCTGAACTTAGTCCTGTAATGTTACCCTAGGATGGACAAAAGTGCACAAGTGTGGGTGGGAGTATCTGGGTTCCCTGGAGAACTATGCTTCTTCTCTGTACTGACTTTTGTCCATTTGTGGAATCACATTTCATTTCTAAGAGACAATTTGAATGATTTCATTTTCTAGCTATAATGCAGGAAAACACATGGCAAAGGTGTATATAATATGCAGATGCTTAACCAAGAGAATATTTCACAGAGGCTGTAATGCTAGGAGGACTTCGCTATGAACTGACAAAGTTGAGAATTCCTTAAGCAGACATTATGTCATCTAATTATACCCACATGAACCAGAAAACTTATCTGTCTTCTGCTAAATATTTGTGCAGGATATCACTGCGTAAGTAAGTCGTTTGGATGACAGTCAGTGCTAGCGGTGTTCAGAAATGTTCCAGGGAATGAAGGAATAAGAGTGAATCTTCACATTAAATTCCCCTAATTTTAGGTTTTACGTTGTCGAAAAGTAACCTTACTCCAAAATAGTCATTTGCACTCTATTTTAGTTCAGCTGACCTGAAGTGAATTCATCTGTAAGACAGAATGTTTGGGCAGTATATTTGTTTCCTTCGTGCGTCAGTCTCTTTCTCTCTCCAGCTAGAGTTAGATCTCTTAAAACTGACTTATTTATAGCATTGCATTAGGGGAATGCTTATGGTACGATTATTATATTGAATATGATATTACACTGATAGCTTTGTGGAAGTTAAAGATCTAATAATATTTTCAGTTTCTTATGGTATAAATGTTCTGGTGTGCATGACATCTTGATTAAAAAATAATTCATATATAGACAGCATGAAAGGGGATAGTGGCTGCTTCTTAATATCTTCCTACGTGAAAAACCTTGCTGCAGGGAGAATTACGGTTGTTCCTGAGAAAAGTGTTCACACGTGAGGTTACTTAACATTGGACTATTGCTCTGTAAATCTGCATGAAGACTTGCCAGAAGTGGGCTGTATAATATAGTTGTGAGAACTTGGCTCCAAACGTGTACACCAAAGAGTGCTGGACACAGAACACTTGCAGGCTATACTATGGCAGCATATAGTTGTCTGTGTAGGTGATCATTTGAAGATCAATTAAAGTTCAACTGTAGCACTAATTTTTTATATCTGTCCTCTATGACTGGAATGAAACTATCAAGCCACTTAATTTTAGATACATGATAATTATTAAATAACGATTTAAATTGCTGCCTCATTTATGCTACTGGTTTGGGCTCAGCTTTTATCTTTGCAGATTTTGTAGTGAATTTAAAAGGTGACAAATTTTCAGCTCTGTAGTCTCTGTTAGCCCTCTACTTCATCACAGACAACAGCTACATTAGAAGTAATCCTATTTTTTCCATTCATCCTTTCTTAGAGGTAATCCATGGTGTAAGAGATCACCTCTAAGAATAAAAGAACATTCTTAATGCTCATTAAATATTTCTAGTCCTTTTACTTAGGTTTCCAGGCACGTTGGTGCAAGGGACAGTCTCTTCCACAGAAGATGATAATTCATTTCAGATAGATCACTAAAGATTGTTAATAAATAATAATAGTATTTAATTTTTCTGTCACACCTCTCACAGGAGAGGTGTGCTAACAACTGCCTGTTAATGCTAGATGTAAGTTGTTGTAGGCATTGGAAACATCTTCACACAGCCTACATTTGGACTTGAGAACCCAGTGAAACTTTCCTTATAACAAAGGGTGAGTAATTATCTTCTCTGGGCCAAATGGCTTCGAGGGGGTGTTGCTTTGAGCCACCTGTAGGCAGAGGGAGACCAGACTCCCTGTACCCTGTGAGAAATTGTGAATTTGGACCGCTGGGGCTAAATGGACTGGAATGAAGCTACCATTACACATGATTCAAATTTGGGGCTAAATCCTTCCGTGGTGGCTCCCACCTGGATGAACTGAGGTGGTGTCCAGCATGTCCTCCACTAAGGGGGATTCATCCAGGCAAAACCAGAGCCCACAGAGGAGGAATGGGCATGCACTGTATAGACTCCTTTAAGCTACAATAATCTCCATATTTAGCTGCCAGTTCTTGCTGACATCAGAATAAGATCTAGCTGGTGATGAGGCGAAGGCATACCTCAGTCAGGGAGCCAACCTGCCCCGGGGCTATGAGAGAGAAGAAAATGGTCCACTGTCAGTGCTGTCAGCTCAGGTCTGCTCCCTGATTTCACCATTTCCCTTAATCCCTCCTACTTCACTCCCTCTGCCCTTCTGTGTTACTTGCTGTCTTCCTATTTTTCTCCTTTTTCCTCCCATTCTTTATGTGTTCCTTCATTTTTTCTTCCTGTTTTCCTTTCCTCCTTCCTTCTTTATCTCTCACTGGTCTAGTGCTGCTCATTCTGCCTGCTTCATCCTCCAATTCCCTTTTCTGTCATCTGCTCCACTCTTCTTTTCCTTGCTTTTCACCTTCACAGATATCTTCTACAAGATATTTTAAAGTGTTAAAATCTGCC